CCACGCAGTCTGGGATTTAATGCAGAGTTCAGAGCTCTGACGCTTTTCTGCTCCAAAGGTGCACCTGTGCCACCTGGAGTTGGGGACCTAGGGCACCATGGCGCCCCTGGACCCTGGACCCTGGGCCCAGAGAGAACACCTGCACAGCGGTTGAGAGGCAAACTCAGACGCTGGCAAACCCTGGTGCCAACAACTGTGTTCTGTTACCTACCTTTTCCGGCCTGAGGTGCCTCATCTTTCAAAATGGGAATGAGAGCACCGACCTGTGGGGGACTCCGTGAGGTTCCCTGCGTATAAAGAGCACACGCCTGGCATACAGTAGGTGCTCATTAATGCAGGCAAGGAGCTTGAGCTAGATCCCCAGCACTGGGCTATACCGAGGCAGGCCAGTCTTGACCTGGAGTGATTGGAAATTCCCCCACAGGATCCGAAGGCTGCCTTATACTCCGCCTGGCCCACAAGTATAAGGGATGCTGGAGGCTGAGAAAAGGCAGGGCCGAGAGGGAGCAGAGGGGTGCAGGGAGGCACTGGAGCACCGGTGGGCACAGAGGGACCCACCTTGCATGGCTGGCATGGGTGCCTGCGGGGGGCGTCTGGGCTGGGGCCAGAGGCTGCCCCTCCTCCCTCTCCACCTTCCCACCACTGCAGGATCGCCCAGAGCAGGATGGCCGCCCACCGGGGCCGGGAGAGGCCCGTCGGAGGCGGCTCTGGGGGCTCTTCTTACCCAGGCAGAAGTCGGAGAGGACGTGGTGGGCCCGGAACTGGGCAGCGGTCACGCACACCTTGGAGTGGCCGTAGCAGAAGCAGCTGCTGCAGCCGGCGGGGTTGTGGGGCTGAAGGTTAAAGGTCCCTGGGCGGCATCTGAAATGGAAGCAGGCCATGCCCACGGGCCAGGTGAATGGCTAGGCTCGGGGACCCCAGCTGGACTCATGCAAGTCCAGAACCCCTGGGGATACGTAAACCAATTGTTTTCCGGATTTACGGAAGATTTCAAATTCTAGTACAGAGAGTCCAGTGGCCGCTTCCGTCAGCGTCCCCGATGGCCACACCCGACACCACCACAGGACACCGATCAAAGCCAGGGACTCGCACAGGTTCCCATTCCTGATGAAACTCCACACTTTTCTGGGATTCGCCCCTTTCCCACAAACGTCTTTTCTGCTCCCACATTCCAGCCGGGACACCGCGTAGCACTTGGTCCCGTCCTCAGTGTCCCCCGCTGTTCCATCTGCCCTGGCTCCCACGACCTTGACACTTTTGAAGAGCACTGGCCGCTTGATCTTGTAGCATGTCCCTCGGTTTGGGCTTGTCTGGTGTTTTCTCATGAACAGCCTGAGGCGATGGCTTTTGGGAAGAAATGGAGGCGAAACGCCTTCTCGCCCCAACACGTTGTGGGAGACGAGACCCCTGTGCCGTCACTGGTCACGCTGACCCTCAGCACTTGGTTACGTGCTGCCTGCCAGGTTTCTCCGCTACAAAAAGGCCAGACGTAGTTGCTGGAACCAAATCACTAGTCCCGCCCACCGGCAAGTCCAGGGAGTTAGGCTCCACATCCTGGAGGGGGCGGGGTGAATAAAAGATCGTGGACATTGCTGAGCCCACCGTAACGTCATGTGCATTTTGAGGGAGATGTTTGGGGGCAACGAGAATATCCCGTTTCTCCTTAACGTTCCGCCCACTCATCGCAGCGCCTGCCCAGCGGAGGCACTCAAATCCTAAGG